CTTCAATGATTGCTACCCAGAGTTCCTTTCGGTGCAGTCGCGTAGGCTTGAGTTGGTCGACGACAACATTTTTTGAATTGACTGTATTTATTGAAATAGGCGTAGAAACATTGCCGATGTTACAGTCAAAATACGTAAACCGTGAGCACATAAAATATGCCTGGAATGTTAAACATCGTGTTCTGACCAATACCATTGGTCAGAACACAAAACTCACCATTCCAGTCATTTTTTAGCTGTTCACGGTTTTCTTTACCCTGACTGTAATGTGCCAACACTTTTAACAATAGGTTTATTGGATCGTTCAGCAGACTTCAAGTTGTAATCAACCAAACAAATTATAAGAACTATTCATCGACATTCCACGATATCATGTCCATCCTAACCCAGACGTTCCTCTGAGAAAGAACCCAATCATGAAAGTATATAAGGGGATATATTCGGCTCCTTCTTTGGGTAACGGACACAGTCATTTACGTAGTTCAATAGCCACAACAAAAGACTCCAAGTTATACAATAGAACGAAGCAAACCAGAGAATACAATAGTTTTGCGGTACATGCAAAAGGACCCCCCCCCCCTCAAAAAAAAAAAAAAAAACCCTCCCCACCCTCAGTTCAAGTCACTGCACAAATGAAGTGGATTACCTCATCTAGCGTGTAGAGGCCTGTAAACGTTTTTTTAATTCGGCGTAAAGAAGCTTCATCCGAAATGAACCTGCAAGGGATATAAAAAGGCATTTTGTTAGAACGAGAAAGGACAAGAATAAGGAAAAGGACAAGAATGAGGACAAGGACAACTAAAAAATACCTTTCGAGGACACCAGGTTCTGCCAAGACCTGTTGGACTTTTTTGGTCCCAACAAGATGTAATGCTGCAGTTGGAGATTTGATGGCAAGAGATCTTTCTAGCAGTAGTCTTGCAGACCATTCCTACGACAAACCCAAATGAAACCAATGATAACCATATGTCAATATTAGTCAAAAAGTAGAGGGGTAGTAACAGCGCAGCGCCCTTAGAAACGAATGGAAAAGGGTGTAGGAATTTGATGTTGGTAATGTAATGTAGTCGTAACGTATATTGAGATTGGATGAATTACTGAAAGACAATGGGAAGCCATTTCAATGTTACGTCATGTCTCTCGTACGTACCGGAAGTTAGTACCGCCTGTTTCCCACTCATAAGAAAACCCCTCTACCTCTACGGCATGTTGTACCGTGTACGTACTGTAAGTTAGTACCGTACGTTTTCCACTCATAAGAAAACCACTCTACGGCATGTTGTACCGTGTACGTACTGTAAGTTAGTACCGTATGTTTCCCACCCATAAGGAAACCACTCTACGGCATGTTGTACCNTGTTGTACCGTGTACGTACTGTAAGTTAGTACCGTATGTTTCCCACCCATAAGGAAACCACTCTACGGCATGTTGTACCGTGTACGTACTGTAAGAGAGTACCGTACGTACCCCACTCATAAGGAAACCACTCTACGGCATGTTGTACAGTGTACGTACTGTAAGAAAGTACCGTACGTACCCCACTCATAAGGAAACCACTCTACGGCATGTTGTACAGTGTTCGTACTGTAAGAAAGTACCGTACGTTTCCCACTCGTAAGAAAACCACTCTACAGCACGTTGTACCGTGTACGTACTGTAAGTTAGTACCGTACGTTTCCCATTCGTAAGAAAACCAATGCAAAAAGTAACACATTCTGGAATTTACGTCATCTCATTGGCATATTGATATTTTAAATATTTATATCTTTGAAAAGAGACGACCACATACAAAAATACTGCACCATACTACTACACTGTTCACATATAATTGATTTTGAAAATAACATTTTCCCCTTGATATACATTTTAAAAAATCCATGAAAGTGAATTTTATAATAACCATAGGAACTTCACGCTTTCTGATTGGCTATTTTTATCATCAATAAGAGGACAGGTAAATAAACTCGGCTACGCCTCGTGGATCCACACTACTTTGACAATGTGATGCACAATTTATCGTCAATAAGAGGAAAGACAGATAAAAAACTGATGTTCACTTATTCTACTCACATCTTCTGAAGGGTAATTTTCAGGGGTGTATCCAGCACGGAAATATACCACAGCAACTTCATAGCCCTCCCTAATCGAAAGAAAACAGATTTATTAATTTAATTCACTCGCTATTTGTATGGTATAATAGACCCCCTGCAGCACGCCGGAATGCAGCTCAATTTGGAGGACATAACAATAGGTTTCCAATTCTTTAGCTCAATAGTCCCCTTCACAGTTCCCTGCGCCATCTCGAAAGGTAGCCGTGCCTTAGAATCGAAGCGGGACGAACGGTGAGCTTGCAATAATACAGACCTCTTTTTAACACCTTGGAAAATTATTCAGTCTCTATAGTTGCAAGCTCACCGTTCGTCTAGCTTCGATGCAAAGGCACGGCTACCTTTCAAGATGGCGCAGGGAACTGTGAAAGGGACTATTAGTAAGTCATTCCAGAGCTTGGGAGCTGATATAGAAAAAGCTGAATCGATCTCCAGCTCCATGTAAAAGTTAAAAGAGAGTAACACAGCAAGTGGCAGATTTGGATGTCTTCAGTTCATACTTACACCATCAGTTTTTTGTTATCAAGGCTTGCAACTTTATACAAGGTTGTGAGGGAACGTCTGATTAGTCTTATACTTGGTTTCCTTAAAAAAACAAAAAACAAAAAACAAAAAAAACAGAAAACGTTCAGTTCCTAAATCTCAATTACGAATTAAGTGGTATAAATCAACTTCATATACCGACTTCTGACTCCGAAGGTTTTTCTGGCCTTCCAGATCTTTTCTCTTAGTCCCCTCAAATCAACTCCTACTAATTCAAACTGGTTAGATCTGTGCTCCGGGGTCATACATGGACTGTCTAGCGGCTGCCAGAGGCACCTCACCTTCACATGCTTTCAGTTCGACCCCGTTGAGATGTGCCACTGCTGTACTTGCGGTGGTGATTAGCGATGACAAGTTTCTTTTTTCTTTTTGAAAGTAACAATTTACCAAGGCCAGTTATATTAACTACAGCTATTTGAAAAAAGGTTGAATACTGCATACTGCATACTAAATAGTGCATTATAAGACCGAAGTGCATTGTGGTTCATAGTGACATTGTCTAAAGTAGGCTTAATAATAATTATTTATTCTATTTTAGTGTATTCCATCTGAAACAATATACTAACTACATGTAGAAAGTCAATTGCTGTATATTTACTTTTTATTTCAAATTAACGAGACCCACAATGCACTTCGGTCTTGGAATACACTATTCAGTATGCAGTATTCAGTATTCAACCTTTTTTCAAATAGCTGTATATCAACCCACCTTTGACAGAGGTAATACTCTAGAAGCTTCTGATCAAATTTGTTTGTTTCATTATCTGTAATAACCATAAGAACAACAGCACTGAAAAATAATAAAATAATTTTGAATTAGAGGACAAAAATACATCTTTAATATTATCCAAAATCGATACAATTAAGCACAAAAAAATACAAAAAAAATCGATATCCCTTAGTTAGTATCCTTGATTTCTTTTTAAACCTGATACTAGTCTTACTAAGTTTCTTTCTTTCTTTCTTTCTTTCTTTCTTTCTTTCTTTCTTCCTTTCTTTCTTTCTTTATTTAATGATTCGCCCAAGGGCAGGTGATAATATAATAGGTCCCCTATATAGTGTTAACACCCAAGGGTGATAAAGTATGATTTTAAGGACGATACTACTGTACCTTTTGGAGCCATAAAACTCCCAAGCCTGGGCCAATCCCTCTGCTATTCCAGCTAATGAAGAGTTAACTGGCATCTGTCATGAAAAAAAATGGACTACTAAATTACTAAGGCACCTTATCCAGCCAAAGCTTTTATTTGTAGATGAAAATGTTTAATTACAGTTGAATGTTCTTGAACCCCGCTTGGTTAGCTGAGTTGGTAAGAGGTTTGGTCTGTTGTGCGGGAGGTCAAGGTTCAATTGGTGTCTCAAAATAACGGTTTCAATGCTTTCTTTATCTCAAAAATAACATTTTATGCATTTGCATTAACGGTTTCTTTACTGGGTGTGAATAACTAGTCAAGTGCTCTCTTTAAAGACTGTATTATGTTGTTCTAACCAATTGAGCAGTAGTGATCTTTAGAACAAGAGTCTGACTAGTGGCTTAATTCACACTATATTATTCTACAGTGTCAGAAAGATTTTAATACCTGTTGAGATCCTACAGCAACATTTTTCCCAGTTAATCCAAGTACATAACTAAAAGAAAAATAATAATAGTGAACTAAAAATTCAACAGTTCCAAGGGTAAATGTGTGGATGGATATAACTAAATAAACCTTTGGTCTTTAACTTGCACAGGTATCATTTTTCCCATTTCAGACCAGGGCCCAGTTGTATGAAGGGTAGATAGCACTAATAATAATAATAATAATAATGATGATGATAAGATGATGATGATAAGATGATGATATGACGACGATGATGATGATGATGATGATATCTTTATTTACCCTGATAAAAAAAATAATGATCAGCTGGACATAAGAACTGCTGGTATAAACTGGTGTTCAGCCCTGGGGAGTGGGGGGTACTCTGCCAGGATTTGGGTAGGGGTGTTCCACTGGGATTCTGAAAGGGGTACCCTGTTTATGACAAAAAACCTCAAATTTGCATACCCTGTTTATGACAAGAAGCTTAAAAAACCATACCCTGTTCAGCAGATCATCCCCGTTAAGTCCATATATGGGAGTACCCCCCCCCCCCCATCCCTCCCAGGTGTTCAGCAAAAATATAAACTAAATCTAAAACTATTTGATGGATAAATCTTATCCAGTGAATAAATTTATTGGATAACAGAATCAAATTATCCACTGGATAAGGATTTATCTATCGGATAGCACTTCGTACAACTGGACCCAGGTATCATTCCCTAAAAGATACTAAGATTATTTGTTTATCAGTTGCACACATGACCATAAGACGCATAACTATGGATGCAACTCAAACAAAGAATCTTTCTCTCAAGAGAAAATTACACTTGGTCTGAATCGGGTGGAATAGATTATGAAAGTAAGCAATATTTTAAACTGATATTGTTTAGTGGCTACTAGTTTGGACAGCATTGGTGTGTTGAATACAGGAAATGAATAAACTTCACTTATATTACAGGCGTTTCCATAACAAGGCGTTTCCATAACAAGGCGTTTCCATAACATTGTCAGAAAACACAAAGCTATATAAGGGCATGTGGCTATAGAATGTCATGGAAACACCTTGATTGATGTCAACCAAAAGCTTCTTCATGGCGACAGAAACTATCACTAGAGCGGCGTGTGTGACTGAGAATGGCTGTAACTATATATTTTAATACAAACACCACTTGACCCCATACTGGACTCTTCCATGAGGTTCCCTCCACACGCACTACCACTATGTTCTATAACTACAACTGCGCTCCCACTCACATGTTGCTTTTTATGGAGGGAGGAAACCRGAGATCCCGGAGAAAACCCTCGTAGCAAGAGAGAGAACAACACATCAAATAAACTCAACTCACGTATGATCCAGTCTGAGCCAGGGCTCGAACCCAGACCACAGTAGTGGTGAGAGGTGGGCGGTAAACCACTACACAACAAACCTTTTACAGACTGTTTAAGAACATCTTTCTTTAAAACTTTATGCATATTTAATCTTTTACCTGCCCAGTCCTGGTAGCTTGCTACCAAGGCACCCAAATGAAGATGCAATAGTGTTGACTTCCACTTGTTTGATATTCAACTGTTCATCACATTCCTTCACACTTGTGGCACCTTGTTTATCGCTATCCAGCATGTAGTCCGACCGCAACAAACCAAGAGATATTGGCTAGAAAATATAAAAAAGACAATGTTTAAAAAATCACCTCCACAATATTAACAACATGACACATGAAAAAAGAGTAAGTTATCAATATGAAATAAAGCTAAGTTTAGAAATTTCTAGACTGTATGGACTACAAACCTGTGCTATTCCTTCCTTCCTTGTCTGTTCGTAGATATCGTAGATCCGACCAGTAAATTCATCCACTGTTATTGTTCTAATAATCAATAATATTGATCTTAGTTAAGCTGGCTAAATGTATTTAAATTTACTAAATTATAAAGCTGTAAATACATGTAAATATATGTACATGTATACCATGCTGGAACATTTTTTTTTTAAAATTTGAAAAATCATTTGTCAATTTATTTATTTATTTATGATTTATGGTGGCTATGGCGTCATGTGAAAATGAAGAATATTGATTCAGAAATAAATTGCTTCTATAGAAACTTTTTTTAGAACCATCACTCCCCATACAGGTTTCCTCCACACACACTATCACTACATTCTATATTCATAATATACCATACTCAAGTCACATGTTGATTTTTATGGAGGGAGGAATTTGAAACACCACTGTCACTGATGTTTTGAAAGTTCTCAAATTGAACTCACCGAAAGGGTCGTCCAAATTTGGAAACTATCTTTTACTAAATTTTGAGGCCGTACGATTTCCTATACTAATTATTTCCAAAAACAATACTGATTTTAATTGATAACTGTGATTGGACCAGGATCTCATAATTTTGGTGAATTATGCTCTGTCTTAATTCGCAGGTTGAAATTAAACACTAGTCAAACTGATATCCTGGAGCTGAATACATTATATGCAGAAATTATTATTTCTTATTTTTTCTGTTAAAAAATATCAGCCTTTGTATATTAAACTTCCAAAGGCATGAATAAGCTTACTCACCCTTGTAGAGATTCTTTCAAAAATTCGTGATCCTGGCTGATTTTATGAACTAAAATATTGAAATCTTGTTGCACTTCTTTGGCTTGGTCGAAGAGTTTCTTCGGAAAAGGAGATGGAAAGAGCATAAAAGGAGCGTGTTCTACATCCCCAGGAGCTTTTCTAGACTGCATTAAAACACCGTTCGCTAAAGAAAAATCTACGGCACTTTTCGTGAGGTCGGATACTTGCTTTTCAGTGAGATTTTTAGTATCAAAATGAAGGTTTAAGTCCATTTTGTTGATAAAATCAGTAGACAATGTTTATCTCTTGTATCTTCTTTCTCGAAATGTTTGGGCTGGGCTGTGAAGAAAAAACGCTCTTAAAAATGACTTTAAAAAGTTGATGATCTCAAATCATTCCACCAGCTAATCCGCCATCTTGAAGCAATATTGTAAATCAGGGGGGTAGGGGTAAATCACGTTTTTGTAACTCCGTCGCGCCTACATAAAATTTAAGCTTTAGTTTCGAAAAATGCAATAAATGCTCTCAAAAGTTAAATATTTATTATTTTGAGAATTCCTATAAACAGGAACATTGTTTTTAATAATTAGTTTCTTCATTTATTTTAAACTTCTCCCTCCCCTCGTATGGTTTTGTGGTTGCGACGACTGCTGACCAGGTAAACTAATGCATGGCAAGCCCACCTGCAAATTATTCATGTGCTCATACATGATCGTCCGTAATCGGGGCAAAGTCCGAAAAGAAAATTGTTGTACTCATTTATATAATTACAATTCACTAAGGTTAGTAGAAGTGAAGTGATTTTTATTTTAAAATATTTTTCAGTTCATTATTAGCGTGTAACTTATGTTTTTTAGTATAAACCTACTAATGGTGTATCACAAATCCTGMGCTCTGATTGGCTGAGCTAATAGTGGGTTATCAATAATAATTGACCACTAAGTAGTGAAAAGAAGCGGTTTTAAGAATAAAAATCAAATTAAGAGAATCTAATTATTTCAACAATGCCTGTATTCATTTATTTGACCTATCATTAGTTTTCTAAGCTACTACTAGACCTCCCGACTTAACAGAACGTACTCGGACATTTATTCGTACAACCAGGCTAAGGTGATTTCACCCTCGTCGGGAACGCTGGGGTAAAATTCTGTCCCTCGTTTCTCGCTGGAGAAACGAGCGACAACGACAGAATTTCACCCCTGATGGGTTCCCGAGTATGAGGTGATTTGGAACGACTAAGCGTGCAATCTATTGTTTGTCACACCGAACATTTCCAACTATTTTTTTATCCCTTGTCAAAACAAAATATTTTCCACCAAAACCAACGAAATATGCTATTTGTATAAGGTATTTGTGARTCTTTTCAAAAAGGAGTTTTATTATTTTCTTTATTTTTGACTAAAGGTTTTTGTTTAGCCTAAACACCTGGGATTAGTATATATTGAGCTACGAAGAAAAATGTTCGCTGATTGGCTAATTAGATCGAGCTGAGAGAAGCGAAACCACCTGGGAAGGTAAGCATCTAGCTCTGGCCTATTTATAAATTTTCGTACATATCTATTATTTACTAATTGATGACAAATGACTATAAAAAAGTATCGTTTTTTTAAATATGCAACAATCCCGAGAGCTATAATTGAATAGCAGAATCTTATTTGTGCTCTCTGATTTGCAAATTAATTGTTACAATTTTGAAAATTGTAATAAAAAATTTGAGGAACCACTTGCTACTTAAAACAGCAATGCTAATCAAGTTAGGTAGCAAATTAATCATTTGGTACTGTTATTTGATAATTGTTWTAAGAATAAGTATAGAAATAGGAAAATCCAAAAACAAATGTAATTGGATTGGAGTAAAAAATAAAGAAAAAGTGCATCAGAGTAACTAGTAAGTTTTTAAAATTTGATCTATTATTAGTTTTTTAAAACCTGAACGTTTAGTTCTTTTTAATTCATCTTTGATCTTGTTCCAAGTAATGGCACCGACGTAACGGATATTAAATTCGCCATAATTAGTTCTTATTTTGGAAATGTAGAAAGAATCTTTTGAAGCTAATCGTGTTCTGTAGGTATGTATTTTACTTATGGGTGTGAAGAAGTCATGCGAAAAACTGATGGCAGAGTGTTTGA